TATACTGCATCATGATTGGCTGTTGGCCTAACATTTTCGGAGCTCACCCCGATGCCGAACTGTTCAGTGACTCGTTCTTCTGGCCAATCAAATACGAATTGGACATTTTGGCCGCAGCAGCACCCAGTTGAAAGCGGTAAAGCGGTTCAGGAGCAGGATTCCGCCTAATACCTCCCGCTCGAAGTTTTTTTTACATAACTTTGGAGTGAGTGTAATGACCTCGCCAGGCTTTCGGATTTCGTCTGTCCAGCTTTGTGCTACGGTCGGATTTCTGACGGAACAGCTGACAGATTTTCCCAGTGGTGCACCCCTAGACTAAACACACTCGGCCAGGGAAACAGGTGCTACGCATTTGCTGGGCGGGTTCGGTTTGTTCGCCGGATCCAACTAGCTGGGCCGCGACGGTGGAGGACGCGTACCGGAATCCACTTAGGTAATCTGCCGTTACATTATGAACCAATACGTTCTGGCCTTTGCTGAAGTGGCGCTCGGTCACGTTTTCATGCCAGTTGAAATACTTCTCCATCTTCTTGTTGCGGTGTCTCAGCTGCATTTTATTCGGCGTGATACATTCATAAGGCGCTCGAACCTTACATCAGAGCAGTGCCCATGCTGAAGACACTCCATCAGGCCTATTCCTGTTTGGTGTCCCCGATATGCCAGCATATAAGTTTGCAAAATCCCTTCTGTCAGTCCCTCCTGAAAAGCGCGCTTCGTGTCATCGAATCGTTGCGCCTAGTCTTTTGACTGTGTGTAAGACAGCAGCGATTAAGCTCTTGACAAAACTATGCGAATACTGACGACGTGAGCTGACTGGCCTTGTTCAACATTATAGTATATGGAATTTTAAGGTAAACTCAACAACCGCCGTGGTTTCAGGACGGTGGTGGCACTTTTGGGACTGCTCATTGGAAGGATTTATGGTAGCCTGCTGCTGTGGTTTTTCGTATTCAAACGAACTCACCTGTCGGTTCATTTGCAGTTCCTGATGCTCGATTCACACACGTTCATCTCGACATTGTTGGTCCCTTCCCCCATCAAACGACTTCACCCATACTCTTACCAGGATTGATCGTTTTACCCGTCGGCCAGTAGGTGTACCCATTTCGGATACTTCAGCTGAAACGGTTGTCTTTTCACTTTTGCAGCATTGGGTAAGTAACTTTGGAATACCTTCCAGCGTTACTGTCGATCGCGGTTCAAAATTTCAGTGTAACCTCTTTCGTGAGTTTTCTGCACCATTCGGTTTCCATCACATATCGACTACCGTGTATCATCCCCGTTCCAACGGTCTGGTTGAGCGTTTCCATCGCTACCTCAAAGTTGCTTTGACTACTCAAATGAACCCATCTTCATGTCCCGTCTTTTTGCTCGCTATTCGCTCCACCATTAAGGAGGATCTTCACTCTTCACCAGCCGAACTGGTATACGGTACAACTTTACGTTTACCCGGTAAACTGGTTTCCCCTTCTGGCGCACAGCCCGAATCACCCATCACATTCGTCACCCATCCGAAACAACATATGCCCGAACTTCATGCTACACCGACCAGACTATCACCGCGAACAGAACGCATCCCTACAGGTCTCCCTTCTACACCATATGTATTTGTCCTGCATGGCGCAACAAGGTGACCCCTCAAACACTGTTATGATGGCCCCTTTGAAGTTATCGAACGTCACTCCAAATGCTCCGTTTTAGAGAGAAGCGGAAAACGCGATACCGTCTCTGTTGATCGTCTGAAACCTGCCTACGTCGAAGCACCCACGATCACATTCAGCAATCCTTCTATCTCAACAACACCCGCACCTACCTAAAATATCCCTGCCACCGACCTCACTCCTCTCACTAGTCGTTCCGGACGACGCTTTGGTTTCCCTCAGCACTTAGCTGATTACGAAACTTGAAGTGAGCAACTTTTTGATTCCTTACTTTAATTATTCGAGTGTTTTCCCCTTTGACATTCAACGCCCTAGTGGGGGAGTAGTGTGGTATTTTGTACCTTCATTTTGCTTTCATTATAACCCTACGCATTTCATCAGTTGCATTTCCGTTTTTTGCTTGAATACGAAAAACCACAAAAACGCGCACATGCACAAGAAATTCACGCAATACACATGTGATCACGTGCTTCGACTCTGTCTTCTGGTTTCGCTCGCGCTGGCAGCTGTCATTAGCGAGTCACGTGTGCTAATTCTGGTATCAAAACATCTCAGACCATCTTCCGAATCTATAATATGTGGGAACTGTTCAGAAGCAGACCCCTAGACCACCATAATTGGATTATTGTTTATTCGCTGACCTGGGCCAACGACGAACTATTTTAAAGAGAATAATTGTTACTGAGTCTGCTCCATCTGACATCTTCATTATTGTATATCCAACCTAGCGTTATTATTTTTATCTGCTTGCCACACACCCTTGTTAAAGTAACTTATTGGGTATCCAAACCGCTACACTGTAAGCCTCGACCACGGCCAACAAATGGGCCTACAGATTCTATTTGAAGACGAGATCCGGTAAAGGCCACGACCGTAGGTGCGTTTTCATGAGTGACTTGGATGCTCCACCACGCTATGGGCAAAATTTGGAGGTCTGATCAAGGGAACCCTACAAAAAACCGGTTGGTGTGACTCCAAGCGGGAGCCCCCATCTTGCTTGTCCCTGGATGCCCTCCATGAAACTCATTCTGTACGGCCGGCTGTGTCGTCTCTGAAATGACAATGTATTATGTAAATAGGAGAAATCGCGTGAGAACGCGTCAGGAGTGAGGTCCCAGTTTGTCTTGTGGGCACATGACGACCACCCAAACCACATAGACCTGGTTGGTAGCCTATGTGGACCACATCAGTAATTATTGAAATAAAGCTGACCGATTCGCTGCCGGTTTCAGTTAAATTTCTGTTATACAGCATCCCCTGTTTCCCGTCTGCTTGCATTAATTGGAGTCGACAGGGCGTCGGCTTGTCCGAGGCCGGTGGTGAACCCTATCCTAGAAACGGAGTTGCCCATCGTTATAGTAGCCTGCCGGTAAACACCGGAGTCCCCGTGTCCAACTAAATATATACGCAGCGGCTTGTAGTCAGTTGGTGGGTTAGGGTATTAGACGCAGATCGTTTTTAAAAAAATTTGGGGGGGAAAGCCACCGCCAAACCTACCTCCTCCATCCGCCTAACTGGCGTCCGGGTTATAAGCGCATTTGAAATCTTTCGGCTGCTGCGCCAGAATATATGTAAGTTATCTGACTCCACAAAACTTTCCGGTGACGGAATGCAGTGGGGGATAAGTAAGTCGAATCCTAGCGTGGATTCGGTGGCTTTCGTCTTGCCAAGTTTGCAGGTGGAAACGATTGCACGGAAACTGTGATGCTCTGTAGGTTGCCACCGTACAGTTAAGAATGTTTATACCCAGTGCGCTTCTCTCTTAAGTCGCTGTGCGGTTGGTTGGCTTGAGTGAGTAGATCTTCAGGGTAAACAAACATATCGAATCGTAAGCAGCACCTGGAAAAGTAAGTTAACGCGCCGACCCCAAGACCTATACCCCAAATTCCTCTAAAACCGTAGTTTGAATGAGAAAACCATTAACCAAAGTTTTAGCATTTCGTGTTATCCGTCCCAGCCCTTAAAATCTGCTCATGCGGCAGCAGTATTTTTACTGTGGTGGCTATCTGAAATGTGCTAAAGAGATCGTTTTCGTCCTCGGGGAGAAGAAGGCGTGCTTTTTGAACAAACTGTCAAAAGTCACCCCTTTCTTTGGTATGCACTTTGCACCAGAAAGTGCACAATTACGTTCCTAAACATGCACTCACTGAACTCACCAGTTGCGATCCAAAAAGAGGGTCGGTTTTGCATATCTTCCAACTTGCTTTAATTATGGTTTTAGTTTAGCGATGGGATCAATGTATGAATTTGCAAGCTCGGGCCGATCATGTTAAATTGAACCATCCATGATGTCAAAGCGTTACATCCCTGAATATCGAGGAACGTACCTATCAGGCTGTAGTGCAGGTTGTTTTGTTGTACGGATGTGAGACCATGCCTATTGGGGCAGCACAAATGAGACATCTTCGGGTGTTTCACATCCATTGTATTGGGTGGTGTCGGCGAATTCGTGACGAGGAAATTACAAAGTACGTTTTTAGTTGTGCAACGTTGACTTCCATTGTGGACTATGTCCAGCTCCAGATTTTCGTTGTCATTTCATGTATTGCGTACGCGGAACCAGCGTTTGCCGAAGAGAGTGCTGTTGTCTCGTTCGATTCAGAGAGACATCCAACCCTTGACGTGGCAAGGCTGTTTAAAAGAGA